ACACTAAAAAAAGCCGTTTTACTCACAATACTCACCCGAACACATTACCTGACCCTTACCTAGAGATACATGCTGGTGCTAATAATTCGAGATTCACAGTATCTATTCATAGTGACGACTAAATTCCGTGCACATCTCAGCGTTAGATCCAAACGACCTGATGTATCACAGGCTAAATGTTGACGTTCATCTTCTCCGATCGCTATCAAGTACCCGGATGTTTCTCTGCGGCCGAAAACAGTAGAACGTTGATTATCCAGATTATTTGATTTATTACGCGGGAGTGCGTCGTGAAGATTAGTAGCCGCAGTAAAATATCATTATATATATATATATAATATAACACAGTAAGTCGGTATATGTCAGCACCCAGTTTGTTGGCCGTGAATTATTGATAAAAACAATCAATATATACAATAATCACGTCCCGCGACGTGTACTAAAAATATGGCTGTTGACATATTGACTTATGGGTAAACATTAGGTTTAGCGTCGTAAATTAACTTGCAAACGCCACCGCCAGATGGCGCTACGGGGTCTATCGGCGTTTCGGGCGTATCAGTGGAACATCGTCAGCACTCTCGTAGTACTGGTACAGGGAAGGAGCAGTGTAGGGAGGGGGGAAGGGAGGGGAGGGAGAAGGAAGTTTAGAGTATGGTAGTACTAGTAGTAGTAAGTAGAGTAGGGAGAAGCTAGTGAAGAATGAGGAAGGGGAGAAGGGAGAAGCTGGTGGAGAAGGAGGAGGGGAGCTAGAAGCTGGTGGAGAAGGAAGAGGGGGAGAAGCCGGTGGAGAAGGAGGAAGGGAAGAAGGAGGGGGAGAAGCCGGTGGAGAAGGAGGAAGGGAAGAAGGAGGGGGAGAAGGGAGTTGGTGGAGGAGGAGGGGGAGAAGTGAGAAGCTGGTGGGGAGAGAGGAGGGAGAGAAGCTGGTAGAGAATGAGGAAGGGGAGAAGGGAGAAGGTAATGGAGAAGGAGGAAGGGAGAAGCTGGTGGAGAAGGAGGAGGGGAGAAGTTGGTGGAGAATAAAGAAGGGGAGAAGGGGGAAGGAGGAAGAGGAGAAGGGAGAAGGTGGTGGAGAAGGAGGAATTAAGGAAGAAAGGAAAAGCTGGTCGAGAAGGAGGAGGGGAGAAGCTGGTGGAGAAGGAGGAAGGGGAGAAGGGAGAAGGTGGTGGAGAATGAGGCG